TTTCAAATTTCAAGCCATGAAATCACAGCTGAAATCATTAAGAACGAGACAGCCAAAGATCCAGTGCTCTCTAAGATTTTGAAAGACCTACTCACCAATTCAACTGATTCTGATTTTACGTTGGTCGAAAACATTATTTTCCGGGGAGAAAGAGTTTACATTCCATCACTACTTAGAAACAAGATTCTAAATGAACTTCACGAAAGTCATCTTGGAATCACAAAAATGAAACAGCTAGCACGGCGCTATGTTTACTGGCCAAATATTGACAAGGACATTGAGCATCTTGTGAAAGGATGTGAAAATTGTGCACTAACACGGTCAAATCCGCCCAAAGCTCCCAATCACCCGTGGGAAATCCCAAAAGAGAACTGGGAAAGAATACACATTGACTACGCAGGACCGTTTCAAGGCTTCAACTTCCTCGTGTGTATTGATGCTAGATCAAAATGGGCGGAGATAAAAGTAATCAAAGATGCACCATCCAGCTCCAATACCATACATCTGCTTGAACAGATTTTTGCAACACACGGCTACCCGAATGTTATGGTATCTGACAACGCCTCAATTTTTCAAAGTGATACATTCCAAGCTTATTGCAAATTGCACGGCATTTTCCAGAAATTCATATCTCCAGGACATCCAGCAACAAACGGCTTAGCAGAACGCTCTGTTCAAACATTGAAGAACCGCCTGAAGTCCACAGCTTCGGAAAACATACCAATGGCAATAAAGGTCCAGAAGATCTTAATGCGGTACCGGGCAACTCCTCTAGCATGTGGCAAATCACCGGCTGAACTTTACCTCCACAGGAAGTTAAGAATACGAATGGATGCCATTTTTCCCAACGTACAAAAAGCTTCAACTAGAAATGCTCCATCTGCACGTTCATTCAACGAGGGGGAGAGAGTTCAGGTTCGTCTCTTCATAAACAACAAGAACGTTTGGGAGTTTGGAGAAGTAAGCAAAAAGTTGGGAACTCGACACTATCTAGTTTCCCTTGACAAGTCAGGCCGACTTGTTAAACGACACATTGATCAATTGCGGTCTACTTTGATACCAAAACCAAAAATTGTTACCACGGGACCAATCCACATATTTGATGTTCCACGGGCTTCTAAACACAGCACAAAAGAAAATTCTAAGGCTGTTACTTGTTCTAATCCTGAAAGACTGTCAATTCCTGAAAGACCATCAACTCCCTTAAGACCATCAACTCCTGAAAGACCATCAACTTCCGTAAGACCATCAACTTCCGAAGGACCATCAACTTCCGAAGGACCGTCAATTTCCGAAAGACCACCAACTCCCAAAGCAAACAATGCAGAGGTTCCAGTAGTTCAGGGAACAGAAACGAACAATAGCCATATTCCTGAGAATCAAGAAAGATCAAGGCGACAAAGGCAAATGCCGGGCCGATACAAGGACTTTGTGCTTTCATAATAATACACTGCAAGTTCAAAATAGTGGGGGAGACTGTTATGTCTTCTCTAAGACTGTTTATAATTCATTTATACATATTTTTTACTATCATATGTTTTTCTATTGTTTTTGTTTTGTAAACATTCATGAAATAGATTTTGTGTTGAGTTAATATGCGTGCATTTATTAATTATTTTGTAATTAATAAGAGTCATTTTACCATACCGATCCTTAGGTCTGAGGAGAAAATGACAGCATTAATGGTGTTTTGGAAGGTATTGAATTTTTCTAAAATCTAATGCAAACTGAAATTAATATTTTTTGTTAAATTTAAAGGTAAATTTATCGTTGTTTTAATATCCAACACAACGTATTATATATTTTAACTTGATCCTGCAGATTGGTGTAAACTAATCAAAATATTAGTTAATAACTTTTGTTTTGTGCGGTTAGGGTGGTAACAATGTCTAGCACTCATGCGCCCATAATCACTCTGATCAGTAGTGCCGAGTCCGAGCCAACATAGTGGCAATACGATGCGTACCCCTTGGGCGTCAACATCCCTATAGCCTATACTCCCGTATGACCAATTTTGTTTAAAAAATTATGCGTAATTCTGAAAAAATAGTTTAAATTTCCTCACATATTATTTCTTCTTATTAACTTCAGAATCACAATGCTTTGGAGTTTTTTTATCAACTTTGACTATTTATTTTTATTTTTAGACGGCCTAGGTAGGTATAAAAAATTTCCTCTCGGCCGTGCGCCCTCTGGGACCTTGCGCCCATACAAATTGCGGATTAGGAAATCCGGCCCTGCCCATAGCATTTAAGGATTGCAAATACCTTAACCTAATCGTCATAAACAGTTCCCACACTCCGGACTACTCGCCTTGACTACTTCCTTCACCACTTCCTACGTCGCGGACCTGTTTTTCTTCCTTCCCATAGCATTTTAGGATTGCAGATACCTTAATCTAATCGTCATAAACAGTTCCCACACTCCAGACTACTCGCATTGACTACTTCCTTCACCACTTCCTACGTCACGGACCTGTCTCCCTCCCTTCCCATAGCATTTTAGGATTGCAGATACTCTAATTTTATCGTCATAAACAGTCCCCACACTACGGACTGCTCGCCTTTACTACTTCCTTCATCACTTCCTACGTCACGGACCTGTTTCCCTCCCTTCCCTTAGCATTTTATGATTGCCTTTACTACTTCCTTCACCACTTCCTACGTTGCGGACCTGTTTCCTTCCCTTCCCATAGCATTTTAGGATTCCAGATACCTTAATCTAATCGTCATAAACAGATCCCACACTTCGCACTGCTAGCCTTTACTAGGATTACAATGTATCGAGTAATCTTCAGTATAATCTTTGATCAATAGTAACAAGTGATGTTTTTCCTTTTGTACTGTATTTTGTAATTTGCTAGTATACAACTTTAAGCCTTTTGTTTACTTTTTCCTTGTTATTTAATTCAACCAACATGGTTACTTAGCAACCCATAAGACTAATGTTAAAAAAATGTGATTTTCAGTTTCATTTTTCTACGTTTGTTGGCAGTTCTAACTGCAGTAAACTCGTTTTTAGACCAGAAATAAACTATTTACAACATTTGAAGAAAATCATCGGAGCCGTTTTTGAGATATTTTTTGCAAGCAAGAAAGCATACATACATGCAAGCAAACATTGCTCATATTAGATTATAGGATTTTTTGCAAGCAAGCAAGCATCTATAATATTATTAAAGTGATACAATACAATTTTATGTAAACGGTTAAGGTCATTTACCAAATGAAAATATAGGCATATGGCACATCAAAATGAAGCTTAGAGTGTGTAGATTTGCCGAAAAGTATTGAAATGGACGAATTTCCTAAGGGCTCTGCCCCACAGGCTGATTTCCAAAGAGCTACGCCTGGCATGCTTTCAATGTTTAAATGATTTAATTTAATTTAGTTAATGAAACAGCTGGCCAGTACAATTAACTGGCGTTTGTTTATTTACTCGAAAAAGATGTTTGTGTTGTGAGCTATGTAGATTGAGGAGGGTTATGTTTGGTTTTAAAGTGAGGTTGTATACGTTTTGTAAAGTATTGCTCAAAGTTTCATTTTTTAATTTAAGAGTAAGCTACATGTCAAGAGGCTTGACTAAAATTGAAGAATTATGGTTAAACATGTTATTCATGAAGCATCAATATGAAGCAATTGATGGTATTGCTACAAGGTATGTTGCCATATTCTTAGGGATCTTTTAACATCAAAAGTAGGGGTTTGAAAGTAAGTAGGTTTACGCTGTTTACGCCTTTAAATCAGTTTATATTTTCAAACTAAATCATAGAGTTGCTGTATTTTAAAACAAACATCAGCACCACTTTAATAGCTCTCTAGGTCACATTTTCTTCCCGTTGCAAAGCACGGGTATAGCAGCTTGTACATGCATACAAGCAAACATTGCTCATATTAGATTATAGGATTAGTTAGTTTATCTACATCTTTTGTACAAAAGGCATTTTTCTAAAAATTATTTTCAAAGAGATATAACATTTTAACTTTGATAATGTTTATGTTTTAGAGCAAACAATTTTGTTTTACCCATTATATACTTTTTCCAAATAAAATACGCAAAATGTTTCAAAAAGAAAATTTTAGTATGTTTCTTAAGGCTTATAAATATATATTTGGTTAGTCATCCAAACAAACTAATGAGGTGTGGGCGTCGGTAAAGACAGCGCGTGCAGGCTTCTTATGCAGCCCTTTTTAACTTAGCCCTATAGTTAAAACCCATAAAGACGGAATGCCTATCAGGCCTGTCATCAACTGCATCCCAGCTCCATCTTACGATACCTAGCAAATATGATTAAATCCAAACTTGATATGACATCTGATAACACCTGTCAAAATTCCAAAGAATTTATAGATTCCTTAAAATCAAACAAACACGACCCAAACAGTATCTTACTATCAATTGATGTTGATAACATGTACGTAAACATACCTCCCAACGAAGCTATTGATGCATTAGTTACAAAGCTACAATTGTCTGAACAGTTCTCTGAAAGTGAAATACAAGACATTAAAACAATGGTCGAAGAAATAACCAAGCAGAATTCTTTGAATGGAACATTGTTTTGAGGAACACGAACACGAATATGTGTTCGTGTTCCTTAGTAAGCCTACAAATGTCGTCCGGTCGGGTATTATCTAAACGAGCGTACTCTACGAAAACACGTGTAAATAAAAATAGCATGCTAAAATGTTCTGTGTTTGTGTATATATGTGGTTCCTGTATATAGTCGACAATCATCTCTCGATGTGAAAATTTTACATACAAAAATGCTGCTGAAGATGAGCCGTGTTATTAGGCTCGAAACATGTACAGCATAATCAACTACAATTGACACCTACTGGCATACGTGATACGTAAGTAGATTATTATCTATAATAACATCCTTTAAAAGTTCTGATTATGTTAAATTATTTTAGAAACCTATTTTCAAGGTAAAAAGATTAGACAATTTAAGTAAAATTCAAGAATAAACTATTTTATTTTGTAAAATATGAGTCATAACAATACACCTTACAAGTATTCCAGAAACCACGTATACCATTCATCACTAACACTGCAATTCAATTAAGATCCAGGAGAACTTTACCAATATTTTTTCTGGAAGCTAAAGTTTTTATGGCAGCAGAAGCCTGTAAAAAATTCAGAATAAGTTATATAGTACCATTACAATTCAAATTTATGAAAGCCCTCTGGCTGGTTGGAGACTCAAGTTTAAAGGTTGTTTTTGTGGAGGTGATTTATTTATTGTAATTTAACAAACCTAAGCGCTATAAAAAATGTTTGTAAACTTTTGCTTTACTCTCTTGTTATATAACAAGCGGAAAAAGCACAAATTGTTAAATATATCCTCAAAAACCACCACACTAAAATGTCACCAACATAAAACAGGCTCCAGATTTTACAGTAGACTGAATTATTATGTATAATTTATGGGAATATAATCAGAAAATAATCCTGGTTTTTATAGATAAAGAAAAGGCATATGACCATAGACAAAAAGAATTAATTATAGACCGTCAGCTGTGCTGCGGTTACCATAGCTTCTGGCGCACACCGCTTGGAGCGCCATGTATTTACGGCGTACACGCTATGTAAACTACAGCGGTGTGCGCCGGAACCTATGGTAACCATGGTAACCACAGCACGGCTGACAGTCTATTTTTAATTCTTTTTGTCTATGATATGACTCAGTGAAGAGGAATCCTATTTGGGATAGTTAAAGAGGTTAAGGACTGGAAGAAAAGTACATTGAGTGGATTAAGGAATTGTATAGGATTCACAAATGTCGTGTCAGGACAACTGCACGGTATACAAGTTGGTTTGATATAAAAAGGAACTGAAACAAGGATTCATTTTGTCACCGGTCATGTTAAATGTGGTTATGGGAATAATGTGAAGAGAAGTAAAAAATGGTGGAAGAAATACGGGAACTATGATGTTTGCAGATTACATAATGCTATGGGGAAGAGATGAATGGACTTACAAAGACAACTGGATATATGGACAGAGGTTATGAGAGAGAGAATTACAAATAAGTAAGTAAAGGAGCGAATTAAAAGTGATTGGAAGAGATGGAGAGTTGGAACAACCTTTAAAAGAAGAGGGGAGACCGCTTAAGTTGGTTAAAAATGTTCATTTTTTGGCACGGTGTTATCAAACGATGGGACAATGGCACAAGAGGTAACAACTGGGGAAAGGTGCAGGATTTTATCAAAGTGTTAGATATCTAGTCTGGGATAAAGATATAAAGACTCCAAAAATTACTGTATCTATGGAGCAGAAGTTTGGAATATAACAGAGAGGAAATGGAGTACTGTTCAGGTGGGGGAAATTTTAAAGAGGTATTAAAGGGAAAACAAGATTGAAAGAATTAAGAATGAAGATTTGAGAAGAGGAATAGTTGATAAAAGTTTGAGAGAAAGAGTAGAGAAATCAATACTGAGATGATTCGGCCACTTAAGAAGAATGGAATTGATAAAATCCCACCAAAAATTAGCGAGCTTCACATGGACGGAAGAAGACCAAGAGGAGGACCTAGAAGAAGGTGGATTGACGAGGTGTTGTGAGATGTGGAAGCAAGAGGAGTGCAGGGCAGTATATGGAGGAAGAGGAATTGTGGAGGGACAGAAGAAGATGGAGAGGCCTAGTGAACACCCAGACCGAGAGATATCCGGAACAGGAGAGGATATGATTGTATGTATGTACCTAAAACATGAACTTTAAAGTTAAATAATTACCTGGCTAAATGGATGTACAGCATAGATCTTAGGCTTGATTTTGCCTTCTTGGCACAGTTTAAAAATGTGTCGCATAGCATCATTGACTAAAGATGGAGCTTCCTGCAATAAGGTTCCCATGTGCAGACCACATACTGCCTTGTTGCCAGCCACTAACTCTTGCATGGGCACTACACTAGAGCTCAGGGCAAACAGGGCCTCTGTGACCTTAGCCTCATTGTCCTGTATAACACTGTTGGCTCCTGAAACATAAACCATAGTACATAACATAACATATCTGATAGTATCTATCAGATAACATAGGCCCCTAGGCTCCACAAGTGGTGCGGAACGGCGGTTGGATAGAATAGACCTCCCTCCCACCCAATGCAAGACAGTCTGGGAAAGTAAATTAGGTGCAAAATGGTGTTTTTAAGGGATGTTGCGCTAATATTCAGTTTTGTCTGACCTAAAAAATTTATTTTTCAAGATTCGTCTTCAGCGATTGCAGTAATATACACAATTATCTACCACAATCGAGATAACATTCAAAATCATCTCCTGTGATATTGAAAAGAGATCTCACTGCATGAAAATCTTAAAAGAGAACAAACAGAGTTAATGAGTTGACACTTGGCTATAAGCTATTGACGATTATTCAAAATCTTGGTTCCATATTCACATACCGTTTCCTGACGATAAAAATTCACGTGTGATTTGTTTTCCGGCTAGACATCTATAGTTATAGTATTTTATAACACATACATCTGTTTGGAGCTCATATTGGTATGTTTGAGTTCAATTTATATGATAAAAAGGTATGTAACGTTTTCTACAACAGATTTGAAGATTTGTATTATTTGTACTGCATTCTCATACGATTGTGAATGGGTAAAGTTTAAAGTGTTGGTTTGAAGTTTAAATTCAAACTGAAACATAGACAAAACAACCTTATAATAAATAATAAAGATAAATAAATAATAATAATAGATAATAAATAATAATAATAAATAATAAATTTAAATTTTAAAAGAAATACTGTATATAATAAATTAAATGACAACTGTTTATTTATTACACATTAGGCCTTCTATTTTAACTGTTATAATAACTTAAATACTACCACACCAACAACATCAACAACATTATAGTGAGATAACTAACATACATCTACACTTTTTCTCAGGTAGCTACTAAAAATTTAAACAAATAAAAACCCATGCTACAATTTTCTAAGCCTAAACTACAATAGTAAAATAAGTTTATTATAAGGAGAATGAGGCACTAAAACTGACCAGCTACTCAATCAGTAGCTCACCAAATCTTCCTTAGCTTGTTCGAAGCTTAAGTAACATTCCTTTGCATGGTAACACATGGACCAAAAATGTATTCGCTGAAAATAAAGAGAGAACAAAAAGAAAACAAATCATTACTCATAATTTATTATGTAACAACAATTAACTGATGACACCTTTTATCATGAATAAACCATACTTCCTTAGTAGAATTCTCATCCATCATGGATCAGCAGAAGATATTTATATTGTTAGTTCCATCCGGTGCCACTAGGATCGTCTTTTTGTTTACAATTTGTTTCTTGTTATTTCAGTTATTTTAAACTTCGTTTAACCAAATAAAACAATCATAAACAATCGCTTATTCCCTAGTTATATAACCAAACAGTAATGTTCAAATGTCCAAACCATTGAATTAACCTTCAAATGATAGAAAAAAGTTTTGTCAACACCAGTACTTAGTGTCACCAACATGAACTAGACTTGAAAAACGAGCTTAAACTTTTACAATGGGATGGGAAGTCTACTTGTGTTGGTTAGTCTATATTTTATTCAACTTGACTAATCATACATGCAGTGCTTGTTTTGGAGGGGAACACGGCAGAACAGAGTTCCGCTACCTCTCTTTCAGAAAGATAAAAATATTGGCATAAATAGTTACTATCAATCACATTAAATAGGTTACACTTCCAGCACCTCATTTTTATTTATCTATTACTGCATACAACATACATGTATAGATAGATCGTGCAAAATAGAGTGACAAGCGGAAGGCGTATACACACAAGAACTATCAATCATCAATCATCAATCATCAATCATCTCATCAATAAATTGCTGTTGGATTAATTTGATGTAGTAATATCTAGTCAAGTGAATCTCATTGTTATTGAATCTCCATGATCCCTCCCACACAATCTATGCTAAGGCCGCGGCTCGACTTGCCGTAGATTGCCGCGCTGCAAATTGTAGCTGGTCAGTTGAAGAAATAGGAAGGCAGCGATCAAACAAAGGTTGCTCCACTAGCGACAGTCTGCAGCGCGCTACATTTTACGGCGCGCCGTAGAATGTAGCTTCGCACGGAAATGGAACTCGGACCATTTTAGCGCTACATTTTGCAGCCAACAGGTGGCTCCACTAGCTGTAGATTGTAGTGCCGTGCCAAGTCAGTGTACGTACAGCCGACCGGCATACAGGCACAAGACACACGCTACAATCAGTATAGATTTTTTAGTGTCCTTAGTTTTTGATTTTTGTGGATTGATTTGTAATCAATGGAGCCTGAACTGGACTGTGAAATTATTATATTAGGAATTATTAAATTATTATATCGGGAGTGTGGGAATCTTGTTTTATAAAGGTTGTCTAGGGGTTTCCTACTTTATATTATAAAGTAATACAGTAGTGATTGGAGAAACAAATACGTGAAAGCATTCAATTTGTTTTTACATGCAGCAGTCATAAAATTGTTATGATTATTAGACCTATAATGAAAAGCTCCTAATGGCTGTTTTTAGATTATTATTAATAGGTACAACAAAAACTCACGAAACTTATTGATATTCAGCATACATTGGTTACTTAGAAATATTACTTCTGAGGGTAAATTAGTGCAATAAAATTTAAATGGAAATATAATAGAAATAGAGATAAAATGACCATTTAAAGTAGAGTAATTCGACACATCGAGGATTGCTACAGCGAGGGTTCACTGTATAAAATTAATGAGTTAAAATTCAGTAAAATTACCTTAATGTCACTGAAAGCCTTTCCTCTACTCCAATTGCTTCTCTTAGTGTGATATCCTTAGTCTTCAAACGTGTTGATACTGCTTCTATTAAGTAATCAAAAGCGTTTTGGGACATTCGATAATATTAAAAAAATACTTGTCTGAATATTTTGGTAGTTTAGTATGCAATGTGTGGAACATCCCTTCGGACTTTCTGTTGCTTAATATTGGATGGATCCACCATTTTTGCTGCTGTGATCGGTGTCGTCTTGATAAAATTACACTGACAACAACACTATGAATGTTAATTTGCGGCATGATCCAGGGCCAAGTTTACCTCGGTGCTACACTAAACTGCTAGTGGAGCCACAGTGCATGTGGAGCTGCAGATTGTAGTTCGTACTCTGCTGCTAGTGGAGCCACAGTGCATGTGGAGCTGCAGATTGTAGTTCGTACTCTGCTGCTAGTGGAGCCACAGTGCATGTGAGGACGCTGCAGATTGTAGTTTGTACTCTGCTGCTAGTGGAGCCACGGTGCATGTGAGGACGCTGCAGATTGTAGTTCGTACTCTGCTGCTAGTGGAGCCACCAACTGTAGCGTGTAGCACGCTACAATTTGCAGCGCGACAATTTACAACAAGTGGAGCCGCAGCCTAAGAATGATGTTAGAAAAAGTTGGAAGGTAGAGATCAATCATTTTCAGAAAGGTCTTTAACACACTGGAAAAAAACATCAAATGCTGTACAATAACCCCAATCATCTAACACAAACTGAAATTTCATGTTGTATCAACATGTGGTATGGTAGACAAAATTAAACTTGATGTGTGTAAAACTGAACTGATGTTAATCGGAACTAGTAATAGATAATGGTTTACAACGACAAAATGTAAATATTCCAAATTATAGTCATTGTATCAGTCCCAGAGGCAAAATGAAGATATTGTGTGTTTAAAAAGAACTACAGTAAAACCTCATTAAAGGTCGATTCACACACATCAGTTAGAGCGTGTCACAGTAAAAAAATGTATTCTTTTATGGCTTTTCTTTTGTGCTATCCACACTCATCAGGGCACAGTTCTGACGCAGGTTCCTCAGTTGCTTTCCCGACGTCTATCAGTCAATTTCAGATTTATTCCCACAGGATATTTTGGGATTGTTCGGACTCCTGACGGACGAGTAATTAATGTGTTTTAAATTATTAATTAAAGTTGTGTTTATATTTTAAGCACTGTTTGTAAGAATTATTATCTAGATGGACACTGAAAAATTGAACTAAGATAAAGCCAGCTAGACGTGCGTCCTGTCAGCTGTTGACTGTCGAGTTAGTGAGGTTTTCCTGTAATATTTTTTCTATTGGATATGAGTTGTCAGAGGCCAAATCAACTAACCTGTCAAGATTATACGCCCTAGAGGTTTGAGCAGAGCCATGCTCCGTTTGGTACTCACACCTCCGACATTGTCAATGATGATGTCAAACTCCGGTTTGTTTAGGCGTGAAGAGAAGTTGTCGTGGGTGAGCGCAACCAAGACTCCGTTCTTGATGATCTCGTCATGTTTGCTCTCAGAGGCTATGCCGTACACTTTGACATCATATGCGGCTAAATTAGCCAGCTGAGTGGCTGCCCAGCCTACTCCACCTATAACAATAACGATTTCGGGGAAAAAGGTGACAGGTTCCAATATACAGTAAAAGCCCGCTGATCCGACATCCGATGGTGTGTCACTTTCAATAATCCAGCATCGGTCTAGAGTCTGAAAGTGTTTTTATATGCTGCTTATGTCATTTAAGTGCAATTGGCGTATAGTTATGAATTATGAAATTAATTTAATGAATTTAATTTAAAATTATCGGTGGACATTTGAATTTAAAGACACCGATTTATTTTTTCACTGGTTATGCTGAATTTAATATTAAAAAAAGGTAGTACAAAGACAGAAACAATGTTAACAGTATGAAATACAAAATTTATTTATTTGAATTGAGAAAAAAGTTACAAATAATATAACAACGGACTGTATAAATGAATGAATTCAATAGAAAAAAACTGACGGAGGACACTGTACACGTCCTTGCCGCATGAGTTTTGTTAAAACACTGATTGTTACATTATATAAAAGGCATGTTATTTGATGTGAGACACATATTAATGAACATTTAAAAGTACAGTAGAGTCCCGCAAACTCGGCACTCGATAACCCGGCAGTCTGGATAACTCGCCCATCACCTGGCTCAAAAAATTAGTGATTTTTTGAGTCCGAGTTAAACATGGACTCAAGCCAGCTCAAGTCAAATCATTCTCAGCTCGTACAAATGATTTGTTGTACTATATCTGATGACTTAATACTAACTTGTAATATACATTTAAATAAAAGAGGTAGTTAATAAGCTTAAAAATTATATTGTTCTTGTTTTTAACCCTAGTTCCCGATAACCCGGCATTTCACAAACTCGGCACCCTTCCAGTCCACATTACACCGTGTTTGCGGGACTCTACTGTATTATAAATATGATCCAACATGAGTAATACCATTTAAACATTTTGGTGGTATCCGTTTTGTCCTTCTGAACTTGGGATTCTCTGCTGTCTACATGCTGCTCAAAGAATTCTAAGTCTAAATGAAAACCACAAAACCTTTCCATCTCTTCGGTAATGTGAATGTGTGTATTTGTAACCATCTAAAGGATATGCTGTCAGAAATGTTATACATTCTAATTCTAAATCTACCCTCAATTTATGTACTTCTCATGAGGAATCGTTCTATTGTTTGGTCTATAAAAGTGCCAGGGTGCCATACCATGGTTTATCGGAACGACAGACTGTGAAGGCGCCTCCACAAGTGAAATTGACGCTTTATGTCATGTCAATGTTTGTAAACAAATAAAAGGAGAATAATACAGGGTGTTTGGTACGTAGTGTGAAAATTTTCAACCGGTAAAACTACATGGAAAATGCAGAAAAATTATGTAAATTAAATGTCTATTATGTAATTCCTCTCAGAATGGGAGCCATTTTAGGTTTTTTCAGAAAAACATGTTTTTACCTTTGTTTTTTGGCAAAGTATCTACAAAAAATTAAAATTTTTCCAAATATAGCACCATTTTCAAAATCTATGTAAAATTTTAAATAAGATATAATATGTTTTGTTTTTCTGGTTGTTAAATAATTTGTAATGCAGCTCGAATGAATTTAAATATTTCGATTCGCAAGAAAATAGTAAAAACAAAAAGCTGCCTGGATCTAAAAAACGGTATGACCTAGATAGTGTCAAATGTTACAAAACTTGCCCATTTAATGAGGATTCCAACGATACCAAACAACCTTGGAAATGCATAGGGAAAGTGTGGATAGTCAAATGAATAATGTTGAAAAACACGATTGACCTAAAATGCTTTCTCTGGTATTTTACGAAGTTTTTCACACTAGACAAAATTATTTATTGATTAAAACAAAGAAACATAATGAGTTCAGAAAAATATTTTTATTCACTCCAAAAACATCAAAGTTTATGTTTAAGACTTAGACAGTTTTTAATCAGTTGAAAAAACAATGTAAAAAACAAAACAACTTTTATTTGTCATTATGGACAGTTTTTTAAGCTGAAAATTAATAAAATCTTGTGTTGTAGAAAAATAACAGTTTTTCACACAAAAAATACTTTTTATTTAAGAATAATTTATTTTTGTAAAAAAATACAACCGATTTCAAACGCTCTAAAAAGAATGAAATAATTTCAATAAAGTAAAAACTTTTGTATTAGGCAAGCTCACGTATTTTAAGTCGGCGCGGCTCTATGATGATTTTTGATGCAAAATTGAAAGAGGGTGTCCATATTGCAGGTGACTATCTATAACTAAAGGTGTTAATCTGCATGTCTTTTTCATAGTTATGCGTTAAGTGTTATTTTATTACCGTAATCAGAGTTTGGTATTATAGTGGTATTAACGAGTATCTTTAAAAAGATTATAACGCATTTAAATGTTTCTAACTTGGAAAAGTAACGTTTTAATACTAAACTAGCTTCTTTTCCCTATCATAATATCAAACTAAATTATTTTCCTATTCATATAGAACATTTGTGTGTGTTATTTTCATAATGCATTTATTCTGAAGTAAACATAAAATACAAGAAAATATTTCCTTTAATATATAAACAATAAAACAGTTCAGTATTTTTTTTTAATATATTTATGTTATCCAGCTACAATTTATTGATTTTCAAAATACACACACATCAATCATATTTGCAGTTTGAGCCGCGCCGACTTGAAATACGTGAGCTTGCCTAATACAAAAGTTTTTACATTATTGAAATTATTTCATTCTTTTTAGAGCGTTTGAAGTCGGTTGTATTTTTTTACAAAAATAAATTATTTCATGATTTTTAGTGACTGTATATTTTTTTATATATTAATTACTTGAGGATTTTCGATAAGCAAAACTGTTTGAAACAATCAAAAGTTCCACAGAACAATAATTATTTTCAAACTGCTTGAGTCACCTGTTCAGGTTACATAATCAATGGGTATGGAAATAAACATCTTTAGATATTCCTTAAGAAAGAAAGAGTTGTCCATTACATTAGGCCTAATGAAAAACTAATAAATTGTCTTTTCTAGATACATTGAAATGTCAGACATCATCGTTTCCTGCAATCGGTGTACTTCTACATTATAAAAAGAAATACAGTAACGTCTCAAGCCTTTTGGAACAATATGAAAGTTATTCCTCAGCTACCAGCACTAAAAAATCTCTCAAAAGTGGAAAATTGGTCGTTAACACTATAGTACCTTTCGTATAGTACCTTTGGAAAATATTATATGAAAGATTGGTTCAACTAAAAGTGGTGTAAGTCATGTAGGGGGTTTTGTTTGCTCAAGATATAGCCTAGTCGAAATTGCAAATCATCTCCCTCTAGGACTTTCCGAAGCAGGCATAATAGTATTGATATGTTATAGTAACTGGGTAGAGAATATTAATAAACATTCCACATCTGCAAATTAAATATGTATATGAAAGATTGGTTCAGCTAAAAGTGGTGCAAGCCATGTAGGTGGTTTTGTTTGATCAAGATATAGCCTAGTCGAAATTGCAAATCATCTTCCTCTAGGACTTTCCGAAGCAGGCATAATACTATTGATATGATATAGTAACTGGGTAGAGAATATCAATAAACATTCCACATCTGCAAATGCATGTTTAGTAATTAAAATATTTAACACTTTTAAGACAATTGACGATTATGCACTGTCACACTTCTTAGGTCGTGTAAGGAATAATTGCATTTGATTTATATTTAGACCTGTTTTACAAATGCTTTGGTTTTCACAATACACCTTTAATTGTCAACAATATCATACAGCTATTCACTGAAACATATATGTTTTTGTAAGTCAGAATATTCAATACTAAAAACAGAATTACTGTATACACAAATCAGGTAAAACGTTAAAATACATTTTTTATAGTAACCAAAACAAAATGCATTTTTCTCAATGTAATTCATTTAGGCTCCATGGCAAGAAATAGTTTATTGATCAATATGAAGCAACTGTTTCATGAAAAATTGTCTGTAGCTTCATTTAAATGGTTTCAACTAACAGCTGTAGGAATGTTATTATGATTTATTGCCTTCTCTGCACAAATGTAAACAATCTGCACAAATGTAAACAAAATAAATGTTGAATATTTAAGGTTTTCAGAATTTTTCACCGAAACAAATATTATACTTAAACATAATATATAAGGTACCAAATAGAAACTCTCCTGGTTATTTCGGTGGTGGAACCACACTGATCGGTAAAAGAATCACAGAGAAATTGGTGAACATACATAGAAAAAAAAAACATCGCCACAAACAAATTGAGAACCTCCTCCTTTTGTTGGTAGTGGGGAAGTCGGTTAAAAACAAACACTCATGATTAAAGAAACCTTTTTCATCCACTTCAAAATAATCAAAGTTTATGTTCAAACTGCCTACCGCCGTTCCGAATGCACATTCTTGACCTTTTCCTCATTTCTCCAACAGTTACTTTGAAAGAAGTTTTTTGTCTCAATTTTGCCACACCTGCTGTTATTCTGACTCTTAGCTCTTGTTCAGACTGAATGGGCGTAGAATAGACTTCGTTTTTAAGAAAGCCCCAAACAAAAAAATCCATTGGGGTGAGGTCAGGTGACCTAGGGGGCCAAGCGACCGGCCCACCTCGTCCAATCCACGTAGGGTAGTTCAGGCTTAGCCAATCCCTCACTTCATTTGTGTAGTGAGGTGGAGCACCATCATGTTGAAATATAATTGTATTTCTTTGCTCGACACCAACTTCATCTAAAAGAGTCGGAAGAGTGTGCTGTAGAAAATGCAAATATCTGTCACCGTTCAACGTTTCCTCAAAAATGAAGGGAACTATCAGTTGGTCTCCAAGCAGACCTGCCCAGACATTTACTCGAAAGCGTCTTTGAAATGACCGTTCCTTTGTCGCCCTTGGGTTTTCTTCGGACCGTTGGTGCATATTATGGCAGTTAAAAGATCCTTCTCTCGTGAACAAAGACTCGTCGGTCCAAAAAATCTTTTAAAAAAAACTGTACTGTTCCATGTCACTGTTTAGCAGCCATCGGCAAAATTGAACTCGACGATCAAAATCAGTTTCTTCCAAAGCTTGTACAGGAGTAAAATGAAAGGGGTGCATTTTATTTTTGTGTAAAATATCCCTCACTTTCCAATTAGACACTCCGATTTCTCTGGAGACCTCTCTAGTACTAGTTTCCGGATTGCCACGAACAATATCCAAGACTAATTCTTCTACGCCCACATCATGTAAAACAGGACCTACCTCAGACGGTAATTTGTGAACCGTGCCACTCTCCACAAGCCGCTGATGCAATCTTGTAAAGACTGATGAGCTAGGGATTCGTCGGTCCGGGTATCGGGCTTCGTATTCTCTTCTTGCAGCAAGTGCGTTACCATTACAATAACCGTAGATGAAATGCATCTCTGCATATTCTTGACACGAGAAATCCATGATGGCTAAGACACAACCACAACAGGTAAACTGACCAAACTGAATGTAGAAATCATGTTTGAATTTATTTTTTGAATTATTTTGATAAGGGTTTAGCTTTCTCCTATGCAGTAAATAAAACTGCATTCACTACTGATAAGGAAAAGAGAACAAGATAAGATTTTCAAACACTGATAATTTGAATATTTTCATATTGAAATCTACAATTAATTGAAACAGATATAAGATTATGATAGAAAGGATGGTGTATCTCTACAAAAAAATATTCTATAAGCTATTAATTTATAAAAGACGGGAGAAAGCATTTTAGGTCAACCGTGTTTTTCAACACTATTCATTTGACTATCCACACTTTCCCTATGCATTTCCAAGGTTGTTTGGTATCGTTGGAATCCTCATTAAATGGGCAAGTTTTGTAACATTTGACACTCTCTAGGTCATACCGTTTTTTAGATCCAGGCAGCTTTTTGTTTTTACTATTTTCTTGCGAATCAAAATATTTAAATTCATTCAAGCTGCATTACAAATTATTTAACAACCAGAAAAACAAAACATATTATATCTTATTTAAAATTTTACATATATTTTGAAAATGGTGTTATATTTGGAAAATTTTTAATTTTTTGTAGATATTTTACAAAAAAATAAATCTAAAAACATGTTTTTATGAAAAAACTTAAAATGGCTCCCATTCTGAGAGGAATTACATAATAGACATTTAATTTACATAATTTTTCTGCATTTTCCATGTAGTTTTACCGGTTGAAAATTTTCACACTACGTACCAAACACCCTGTATAATTAGCTGTTCATGTTAATTCTGTTTACAATAATGTTTTCTTATTCAACATACAGGTTAACTAACTATACTGTATAAAAAGAAATGTCTAACTATGGCACGTTATGTTCAACACAATATTTGTTCTTTCGTTCTTGATTAATTTAGGGTGTTTTTGGTGAAAGTAATTATTTGAGAGTGATTTTTTGAAGCTAGAATTAAGTTAAATACTAAATAGGCATTGAAATAAGTGAAAGAAGGGAAGTTGAGTGGGAAAAACTTTTAATAATAAATGTGAAAATATGGCAAAAAGTTTTTTTTACGAAAATGTGAATTTTTTGTCTTTTTAGCTCACTCCAAACGAGTTGGGGGGAACGGGAAACTGTAGGAGTAATGTAATGTTTGTATAATTAATTATTTTATAAAAGGTAACTATACTGGTTAAAACAGTATAATTTTAATAAGCCTATAGGAGCTTAGTTTTATCTTCATAGCATTATTACAGGTTTATTTTGATAGAAAATAAAATTCAATATATTTTGATTAACAAGTTAAAATTCATTTGCAAATAGCATACAGCAGTGAACGCTGTAACTACACTCGCACGCTGTAACTATAAAAAAATTACTTAAAAAAAATTGTATCAATCCATACCTCAGTATCAATTTTGAACAATTACACAACTTATAACAACACTTAAATATAAAAAACAACAGTTTTCAGACACACAACCTATACTACTGTACTTTGTCAGAGAACCACAACAAACTGAGGCACGCTTGCTTCAAAAACAAATATTTTTGTTTCGTGATTTGAGATGCGCAAGCTTGGCCCAGCGTGCGCTTGCTAGTGGCGAGCACTGTAAACATGACTGGTCAAGTCGCCACAGGTTTCCAGTAATCTGCTACAATTTTGTTTCAAAGGGCAAGCTTGGCCAAGCGTGCGCCACCATTTTACTTGCCCAAGCGTGCCTCCAATGTAAACGCAGTCTAATAGGGAGACTAAGTCTTTAAACTTAATTTTCATTCATAGTCTACCTTCAATAAACGCATACTTTCAATAATAAAAGTGAAAATCTGGCAAAAAACAGGTTCTTTACAAAAATGTGATATTTCTGTAATTTGGAGCGGGCTCTAACCGGATAACCGTGCGTTTGATAAAGGACAATATGTATGTATTTTTTAGAATTGTAGGAAATTTAATGATCTTTCATTTTCATAAATTAGTAAAATTTAGTAGAACGCATGGTTTCAGAGTTATAAGCAAGAAACTGAAAAAAGTGCGAAGATTTTCATATTTTTTTTACGTCTAACTCAAAACGCACAAGCAATTTTTGTTGGATCTCTTCAGATTTGGATTCAGCGCCCCAAAAAACATAGATTTATGAAAACAAATTGTCGCAGTTATTTTTTGTAACGTTCAACTACCGTTTGACTGGACTATTTATGATAACAGCTAATTTGAACCAACTAGAAACAAAAAGCTGTGATATATAATGAGAACTTTACTTTTTTCTATTGTTTAGGTGCAGTGGTAGAACATTCTATCGTAGATGTTTTTTGTACTATATAGCATACCGTAAATTAAAAGAACCAAATTTTCTTCAACCGTGTCCTCTCTTCCATTCCAAACGCAAAGCACGAAAGCACGAGTATACTGCAATAAGAATTTTATACTCATACACCAACCCCGCATGAAGAACGGGTACTCTGATAGTATTATAAATATGAAAGTTTGTGTGTTTGTTTGTCTGAAGTTCAATCTCACATTTAACTACTGGTCGGATTAGGCTTATATTTGGCATGATGATAGCTCACATTCCCGATTAACATAAAGGCATTTTCTTATTTCAAAAATCCTTTCAGGCTCCGGCCCAGTGGCTCTGGAGTTTCCCATGTTAACCTTTTGGTTATTCACATTTAAAAGGAATTATAAAAATTTGTCAGCTGATTCAAATAACAAGTTTGTTCTATTATATTCAATAGCACTAAAAAGTTATAACTTGGCTTATCAACATCTGCTCAACAACCACACAATAAAAAAACTTATCAACTTGGCTTATCTGTTGGGCAGCACTATTATATTTTTGGAATTATGATAACAGCTAATAAATTGAAGTAAGCAGCATCAAAAAGCTGTGATACACAATCATAACTGTCAAAGTAGGATTGTTTACTGAAATGTTTGTTTTTAATTTAGGCTAATAAATAATAAATTTGTGATATTGTGCGAATGTTTGATATTTTACTTTTTTCTATTGTTTAGGTGCGGTGGTAGAACAGTATGGCCATGGTAGATGTGTTATACTATAGCATACGGTACCGTAAATATAAAGAACCAAATTTTCTCAAACCTTATCCATTGAAAACGCGCACAAGTATAACTGCAATACCTATAAATACTTATATTCCAACCCCATACAAAGAACGGGTACTCTGCTAGTTTATTTATATATTTAGTTATATTTTAATAAGCAAAGTACAATATTCAATACAATGAAAACGTACCAGCAGCTGAATGGATCAGCACACTATTTCCTGGTCGCAAGTTGCCCAATTCACAGAGTGCAAAGTAGGCAGTCAAATAGTTGGCTGGAAGGCAACAAGCTATGTCCGTGCTAATGTCTTCGGGTATGAGGAAACATTGGGAACTAGGAACAATAACAGTCTCCTGGAAACAGCCAGACTCGGGCATGTAGCAAACCACACGGTCTCCAACCTGGGGAAATACATAAAATAATTATTGTCATAGGGTTTGGTCATGAATCACAAAAAAGACATTGAGATAAACAAATTAAGACATACTTATATTGTAAATAACCGTTTTAAACTTGCCGTTAGATCTAAAAATTTAATGGCCAAGTGGCCCAATTTGTCTCGTTCAACAAGATACAGCACTGTAGATCTCCGGTCTGTGTCAGATCTAGGTGCAACTTATGACAGTGCCTGGTGGTCTATCTGCACTTAACAGAGAACAGCTTGGATTGAAAATAGCGAATAGGTGGATTTTAGTGTCACCTCCTGAAACACATTTTGATACTGTTTACTCATACTTTTTGTACGCGTCCACCGAAAATTGAGGAATGAAAATTAGAATTTTTGTATTTAAAGATGGATATGGAAAAACATTATATAAATAAGCATCCATCTCCATGAATAATATCTGGGGATGAAAGAATTAATGTTAGGCCTAAGCTATTAAGAAAATAAACAACAAAACTCCTGTACAGAAACTAAACTTTACTTATCAGCAATAAGACACTTGAGTTATAACATTTATTCAAGGTTTGTAAAATGGGCTAGTCAATGGGAGAACAAACTCGTTGTAACAAAAATTCATAATTCGCTCCACTTGAGTGTTACTATTACACGAACATTCTTTATTGTTGATCACGTGAGAAACTACTTTTCTTTTCAAAGTGTTGTTATCATGGATACGTTCATCACTGCTTTTCACCAAATTATTTATAGGACTTGTGATATCATGACAACAGCATGTTTTTTCATGATTAGTTTGATCATGTGTATTCCATGAAGAACTGTCCTTGTTTGCAGTTGCGTTTAAACATTTTGACTTCTTGGACAAAGGACCATGGCTGTTAACACCGGCCAAGCCATTTGCAAGACCAGTTTGTTTTTTACTAAATTTACTTCCACGCCTTTTATAATATTTCTTACGTAGTATTGGCCTATTCTTCATTTCACAATAGTCCCTTTTAATTGGTATTTTTATATTTGATGAGACTTCATGTACACCGTTGAATCTCACCCGTTTTAAAACAGGTTTGGCCTTCACATAGTATCTGTTTCCTTTTTGTATCAACTTCTTTTGTCGTAATGCAGCTTTTAATGCATTTCTGACCTGAATATTTACAATGTTGCTAAAACGCTTGATGAGATTGTTACTTATATCAGCAACTGAACTTCCAGCAGGATTGTTGATCTCTTCAACAGTTTTAATTACATTTTGTATGTAATATTGGGACATTAAGTTTCTCTTTGCCATGTAGATAAACTAAAAATTTGAGTTGAGAAGCAATTTGTAAACACAGTGATGAAATGTTTGTCAAGTTGTGGTTCCCTAGAAACAAAAGTACCAGACAAAATTACTGCCCTCCAAAATAGGAGCATAATAGATTACACCATGGTTACCAGAGGATACATACCATGGTTAAGAAATGGTCTGATGATCATGGATTAAAACTCAATCCTAATAAGTGCTCAGTTTTGCATGTCAGTAATTCTTCTTTGCAGGGCAAATTGAATTCTAATAGGAGTAGTATTATAATTTCTTTGGATGACACACCTTTATCACTTTGTTCCTCATTAAGGATCCTGGGTGTCTATCTAGACGATTCTCTTAAATTTTCTGAGCAGGTGAGTCGTATCTGTTGGGAAGCTGAGACAGTTGCACAAGTTGAGTTCTGTCTTCAGCTAAACTTCAAATAGTGCAAGCAGTGATTTATCCATCCATTCATTATTGCCTCCCTACATTTTCTGGTTGTTTAACAAAGGACAGAATCAGAATTCTGACAAGACTTCAGAATAATGCTCTAACGCTTGTATATAATTTGAAGAAATTTGACCACATCAGTGAATTTAGATCGAAAGCAAATACACTGTCCATTATGCTAGGAGTGGCGAGACACAAGTCACGGTTCACTCAACTTGCCAAGAAGCACAGCTGGAAGTTTGACTACTAAGAATAATATGCTAATATGGAAACTAAATAAATCAAAATATTAGGATAAAAAGATAATATCGGAAGAATGATCAGTTGCAGCATAAAAATGTTATGTTGACTGACAGCAATAAAACAATTTAAGGTACAAACAACAACAAACCATCTGCTTATGTACTAAGGTGTGTACAAAAAACTTAATTTGGGAATAGATAAAAAATAATCACCGCACTTAAAACCAAATACGAAGATAAAGTAATAGGCCCTAAACATAAGTAACCTTAATAATGGTGTGTTTATATTCTTAGGCCTTCAATGTTATTAAGAAAACAATACTTCAATTATCGATTGCCATATTTTAAGTTTACCACATCAATTGCATTGTTTGCGTTTAATAGCAAAAGTAAAACTCAAAATGACTTATACTAGTACTGTTATTAATTAACATTTAAAATGTAGGCCTAATAACATTTTCAGAAGGTAAATCTAAATACATCTAATACACTTAATACATATATTTACACTAGAAGGTTCATCATAATTAAATTGTCCAATTGAAATAGATCACAGCTTTTACCATTTTTTCATATACCTACCGCATATTTTTATCGTCCTATAAGTAAACAGTAATTGGGCATATTTTAATTCATTATCCATCAGTAAACCTCCTCAAATTGAAAAAAAAAAAACATAGGTTTTGCAATCCCGTTAATCCCGGGATTAAAAGATGCCAATCCCGGGATTTCTAGGTATCAAAAACTGACCGGTATTCCGTCAAATAAAACATTTTCTAACAGTACAATTCCATATGAACTATCAAAAACAAAACAGAAATATAAAAAAAATAAAAAAATAACCTATGATTATTTGTATGTTTTATTTTAACAAAAAATAATTCATTCTTTAGTGATAAGTCGTCAAATTTGGTTATGATAATAAACAGAAATATTGAATAATAGTAGAGAAACATTATGCGTTAAAATTATTATCTTTTAAAAAATACAATTAAATAAATAAAGAATAGGCCTATTTACTAAAAAAAATACAGTTTTCAAGATTTATCAAATCGCAGATAAGATGGCTTGCCTTACAACAACATTATAGCCCAGAATTTACACACAAAATTATGCCGTTATGATTTAAAATAACATTTTTAATTTAATGATGGCGGTTTAGCGAAAATTAGGCAATGAATGACATATATTATGTAACTAACTAGATTAGAAAATAGTAATGTGTAATGATAATGTGTGTGGTAATGTGGTGATGTGGTAATGTGTGGGCTTGATGTGTGATAAATGGTTGTCACAGCAGCTACTTGCTCTAAGGGGTACACTTCCAAATCATCAGAATCATCATCATCGTCATCACTGTCACTTGATTCGTCATCGCTGTCATCTGGACGCAGGTTGATGATGAAGTCCTGCACACTAGCGTCATTCAACCCTTCACTTTACCAGTCGTCATTGATGGATTTTTCTCGTGCTGGACGTACTTGCTCCATTGCACTGAAGTCACTTTACCAACCGCTTCCATAAATAGGGTTTGATCATCAGCTAGCTTCAATGTTTTGTTGTTATCCCTGACATAACCTTTAAGGTGTGCCAAAACCATCTCAATGAGGTTGTAGTGGCAGTGATACGGTGGCAGTCTGATTACAGTGTGCCCCAGCTCAGCTGCTTTAGTGCCGATCACATATTTCGGAGTTGGCTTGTGTCATTTCACCACTTCATACAGCTCCCACTTCCGCAGATCAGCACTGTGAACAATTGCCTTTTCTTGGAGCCACTTTATCATTTCCTCTTTCGTGGAGCTCGAAGTAGGGGCCTTATCAATGATTCGAGAATGGTAAGGGGTCCCATCACGTGGGTATCCATCACGATAATGCTTCCCCGATGGATGGCTGGTAGTAGTAGGTACCCCGAAAAACCAACCTTCGAAAACCTCGCTGTTCATCTCCTCGTGGTAGTCGCACATCTTTTTAGACTCAAAGATAAGTGGAGTTTTCATGTAAAACAGGTCTTTGATCTGATGTACGCTGGCTAGTAAAGACGTTATTTATTTATTTTATTTGTTTACACTAGTCCGACTACTGTACTAATGTAGGTCACAGTACAGACAGGGTGGGATTGAATTTTCCACCTAATTTTGTCTGTAATACAAGACATTAATAGCAAATCAAATCTACTTCCAAGTGTATTTAACACATATCGTAGGTATTTAAGCTTGATGTGAGGAAAATTCTTTTTATCAATGTTAACAGAGTCAAAAGATTTGTTTTGGGAAATAAATGTTCAGTTAAATAAGAGACAGTGTTTTGGATGTGTTACTAGATTCCAAATACAGGGCAAAAACTTACTTAACGGAAGATTAGATCACCACAGCAGATTACTTGAGGCACAGTTAAGTGGAAGCTTTTTGAACCCTCTAGGATCCAGCTGGCATGTTTAGCTCTTTCTAGAATATTGCTTTATAGTGTTTGTATATCTATATATTTTACTTTAAGAGAGACATCACAAGTATGTACTTAATTATTGATAAAGATATTTGGTTTTTGATACAGTGACCGAACCTCTTCAGATAAACTTATTTTCACTCTTAGGACGTATTAGTGTCAGCCAAAAAGTCCCTCAGTCTCGTTATACGATGCAGTTATCTTCCTAAGACTAAGACATTAATTCTGATCATAGATGTATGTATAGGCCCTACTTAGATACATAGTTATGTAAATTACTCAGTCTACTTAGCCTTGGACTTACATCTATGTGATTGACGCAAGTTCCAATCTCTAAAACTTTTCCAGCACACTCGAGCCCCATCACATACGGGACTGCAGTCTGCAAAAGCCTTCCTTGGACGTGATAAACATCAGCAAAGTTGACACCACAGAAACTCACAGCTACTCTCACTTGTAACGGACCACATCTTGAAGGCAGCGGCCACTCCATTACCTAAACATTATACAAATCATTAGAGAAACAGTTAGGCTTTTAGTTATTATCTGCAACACATTGAAAAGCTTGAGAGCTTTTTTACAGGTCATATACTTTTTGCACAAAACAAACCATTCTACCCAGGTGTATAACAAGACACAGTTCATTTAATTGGGTTAGTATGTGCCAAATTATTTATTTATTTCATACAACAAAAACATAATAAACCAAATACATTTCATACAAAGCTTGAAAAGCCTCAGTAGGCTTGTCCGCAGCCATAGATAGAGTCCAGTTCAAATTCCATTCACAAAAATTCCAGTCAGTTTCTTATCTGGTACAAGCTATTCTCCCAATCTGTTGTATTAAGTAGAAAAGTTTTCACATTTCATTACCATTTCTTTCATTGTTTTAACAATACTGTTCAATGAAATGGCGACCATACAAAGTAGGTATTTTACGCCAAGTATGAATGGAGATGAGTGTAGGATGAGTGGCGCGATCTTGTAGTCTTGTTAGTGAGTAAGGCTGACATTCCTTACAGCTGTTAATGCGCAATTTTAACAATAATAAAGCGCTAAGCAAAAGTCTACTATTACAAACAAAATAGTAAACATAAAAAACAAATTAAAATAATACTTAACTATTGAATTAATATTGGTCTATTTTGGACTTCAAGTGAAGAATCATACAGGGTGGCTGAAAAGTAACTTGCACTCCCTTCCTTTAACTTTTTAACAATTTGAGATATTTTAAATCGGTTTGCAGCAACCTTCATAGTATAGATATGAGATGCTACAATAACGATTGTTAGTTTTGAAAGTATTGCCCTTAGGGGTAATGGTCTGATTTTTATCAAGACTTGTAAAATGATACCAAAGTTGACTATAGCCTGAAAGTTCTCATTTTAAAAGTTTTAGCTAACCCCTCACCCCAAAGAGCAATAATTTCAAAATAAACCATCATTAGCCTATTAATTGTAGCCCCTCATATTTAAGAAGGTTGCCTCAAACCGATTTCAAATATATCTCAAATGTTTAAAAAGTTAAAGGGAGATGCAAGTTACTTTTCAGCCACTCTGTATACATAATTATTTTTTCCAAAATAAATGGATGATGTGTAACTATTTTATACAACAGATAAAACTAAATTTTACTCTTCCAAGGTTTCACTGATGAAAAGCACTGACACAACAGCTAGTCCTTAACTAAAAAAAAAAAAAAAATGCAAGAGACATTAACACTTAAAAAGAAATTCAACCAAAAACACAATAAATTATTGGCTACCATAAACACTGCTAAAAAAAAATGAACTCCCACAAAGCCAATTAGAAGAAAAGGCAATAAACTGTAAGTACCAAATATGTTTAAAACTTACCTTGATGTGATCAAAGGAGCCGTGCTCTGTCAACACGATGGAGCGAACTTTGACTTCGGTTCCCGAATCAGGCTCAGTACTAGTCTTCCTCAATACTTCCATCTGGAGATGGAAAAAACAGATCAATGAGTAATTTGAGTAGCATGTCACCGTGTAGTAAAGCTGGATGTATTGTAATTAGTTTTTTCTTAACACCATTTCGTATCATGATTTACAAACATTTGAAACCATTTTTAACCGACTTCCCCACTACCAACAAAAGGAGGAGGTTCTCAATTTGTTTGTGGCAATGTTTTTTTTCTATGTATTGTAAGAAAGGGGATTAACCCCGTACCCACGGTGCTCATCTATGCAGACACTCTGTTCACATTAAACTTAGTCGACCAGTTGGTGTGAACAGAGTTGAACAGTAGCATGAGCATCGATTTACAAATTCCTTTCCCAGCTGATGTGAGCTAGGCGATGACCGGTAGGGCTGACTTCCAAGAAACATCGTTAACCTATAAGCCACACACCCTATCGGTAATCAGCCAATGAGAAGGGCTAATGAAGAAGATGGAGGGGTGAGGAGTCTCGGAGCTGGAGGACCGGAAGGAAAACATCGAGGAGAGATAACCACGGGCCACGGGACCAAGAAGATCAGGAGTTTCGGAGTGTGTGTATCGGTGCGTGTGCTTCTGGGACAATAAACAGTATGTAAAAAGAATAAAATATATAACTAAAGTTTTGTAAAACAAACAAGTCATGTAATTTGTCAGTAACTAATTGTTTTAAATTTTCAATCTATTTTCTTTTCTTGTAAATTTAACGTTGTAAATTTATCTTACTATTGTTGATCTTTGCCTTTTCATTGTTTTATTTTGCTGTTGTAACACTTTGTTACTTTTGTTGTTTTTCTAAATTTAATTTTGTTCATTAAACGTTGAGTTACACCCTTTAAGCAGTCTTACGTCTCATTAACCTAACACCTCTTCACTAAGCTAAGCGAGTGAAACATTTTAGGAAACTTAAATTTTAACATTTAAAGTGAGGCATGGGACTCGCAGTATGTTCACCAATTTGTCTGTGGTTCTTTTACCGATCAGCGTGGTTCCACCACCAAAATAACCAGGGGAGTTTCTATTTGGTACCATATGCAGCATTATGTTTAAATGTAATATTTGTTTTGTGAAAAATGCTGAAAACCTCAAATATTCAACATTTGCTTTTGTTTATATTTGTGCAGAGAAGTCAATAAATAATAATAATAATATTCCTACAGCTGTTAGTTGAAACCATTTTGTGGGGAATTTATGTTAATTAGAAAGCAATGTGGACTGTATTATAGTAATTTTGAATTGGATACACTAACCTTTTGTTATTAAACTGATGCGTAGACTGGGGGCCCCCTTTGATGAATCCTGAAATGCTATAATGTTGATAAGTTCACTTTTTCACACTATATGATGTTAAAAAACACTTCAATTGTCTTTATAATAAGTTATAAGTCAGCGGTAAATATTTATGTTGGTATAGAGGTTTATGGTATTTGAAAATGTAGGAGAAAAGGCATGTTAAGTCCTCATAGCAACAGGACTTGCCCAAGAGTGTGCCACTACTCTGGCTGAAGGAAGGAGTTGGTCATGTGATACATATCAGTGACCAATCAGAGAGCTAGTCTTGAAACCATTGGGATTTGAAGATACTGATGCACTCTATGAGGAAAACATTTAACTATCTGAAATGGTATTTAAATGGAGATTGTGGTGAAATCAGTGCATTAAAATTAAAAATTAATATAAGAATACTTAGAACAAAACAGTATATATATTTGACATACCGGCCCCCTTGAACCGATCCGGTTCAACAGAAAAACAAGAACCATGCATGATTGAAATATGAGGAATAAAAATAAGGAAGGGGGTTGGTAGCCAGAGTTATGTTAGGTTAGTTTATAGGAAGGCAGGAAACCTTAACTACAGGTCGTGTTAAGGTTTTTGTAGATGTCTTGATTTGAACGACTCTTACAGTGCCATCTTGACCAGGAGAGGCTGAGATGATTCGACCAAGCATCCAAGCAAGAGGTGGAGTATTGTCTTCATGAATGATTACTAAGTCTCCGATCTTGAGGTTTTCTTCTGGAGTAATCCACTTAGATCGTTCTTGGAGGGTCTGCAGATACTCTCTATGCCATCTATTCCATATGTGTTGAGCAAATGCGTGCACAAGTTTCCACCGTTTCAGGCGATTTACAGAGATATCCGTGAGATGAGGTTCTATTAGAGACGTCAGAGGTCCTCCTGTCAGGAAGTGTCCTGGAGTTAATGCTTTAAGGTCAGATGGGTCTGCAGAGAGGGGTGTAATAGGCCTTGAATTTAACATTGACTCAACGCGAGCAATCAGTGTTAGAAACTCTTCATAGGTTAGAATTTGTGTACCTATGACTCTCTTCAAGTGGTATTTGGCACTTTTTATTGCCCGCTCCCACAAGCCTCCTTGGTGTGGAGCTCGAGGTGGTATGAAATGGAAAGTTATTTTGTTGTTCTGGGCAAACCGTTGTGTTTCAGGTTTTATCGTTAGGTCTTGGAAGCATTTTTTAAGCGTTGAGGCTGTTCCAATGAAATTGGTGGCACAATCTGAATATAAATCTGATATAGTGCCTCGTCTGGCAGTAAACCTAGTTAAGGAAGCAATGAATGCATCTGCTGAAAGATCTGTGACCATCTCCAAATGTACAGCCTTTGTGGCAAAGCATATAAATAAACAGAGATAGACTTTAATTGGCTGCAGTCGACGTAAGATGTGAATCTTTACTGTAAAAGGTCCAGCATAATCCATAGCAGAAACATTGAAACAACGAGTAGCCGTAACACGTCCAGCAGGTAAGTCGCCCATTAAAGGTGCTGTCATTTTAGGCTTAGCTTTGAAACATCGAATACATTTAAATATTCTGGAGCGTATAACACTTCTCTGAGACAATATCCAGTAGTTTTGCATTAACATTGCTTGAAGGAGTTGTGGTCCTGCATGTAGATATATTTTATGAAAGAAATCAATCAGCAGGTGGACTACAAAATGGTTCTTGGGAAGCAAAATGGGATGTTTTGCACTGTACTTAAGTGGTGAATTTTTCAGTCTTCCACCAACTCGTATGATTCCTTCTTCATCTAAGAAAGGTGCAAGCCGTTGTATTTGAGTAGAACATGTTTTCTTAGCTTGAAGCGATTTGATCTCATTTGCAAAGCATTCCTTTTGCACACACCAACATATGCGATTTGTTGCACTTTCAAATTCCTGTTTGGTTAAATGAGTGGTTATTTTTGCCTTTAGCTTTAGACATTTAATAAAACGAAGAACATAAGCCATAACGTTTACAAGTTTAGACCATGAGGAATATTTACTTAAAAAATGTAGTTTAGAGTCATCGGTTGATGTTATGAGGTTGAATGTCTCTGATTTCAGTTCATTAAGAGATTCTTCAGGATCTGGGGAAAGTTTAGTTTGTGGCCATGTAATTGAGTCCCATTTAAGCCACTTAGGTCCTGACCACCAGAGCTCATGATTCATTAAAGCGGAAGGTGTTAGGCCACGAGAGGCGCAATCAGCAGGGTTCTCTGCTGAGGAAACGTGTCTCCATATGCATGAAGGAGTAAGCTCTTGTATCTGAGCTACTCTATTTGCTACAAATAGTTTTAGCTTGTAAGATGGGGTGTGGATCCATGACAGAGCAATCATAGAATCTGACCACGCATTGATAGCTGTAATATGGTACTGTTTATCAAACTTATTGATGCAATAGTGAAGCAACTTGGCAAGTAAATGAGCGCCGCATAGTTCAAGCCTAGGTATTGTAGTGCGTTTAAGCGGAGCTACCTTTGTTTTTGCAATCAACAAATGAGTTGAAACATTGTGATCAGAATCTTCTAACCTTAAAAAGACACATGAAGCATAGCCTGATTCACTAGCGTCTGAAAAGCCGTGTAATTGTATATTACTGGCGTTTACCATGGGAAGGTAGCGAGGTATTTTTAGATTGTCAATTTCTGAGAGCTCACTGATAAATTGAGACCATTTCTCAGAAAGTGTCTCAGGAAGCTGAGTATCCCATTCTAACCCTAAACACCAAATGTGCTGCATTAATGCCTTTGCCCAAAAAAACCAGCGGACAAATTAGCCCCATGGGGTCATAAATCTGAGCAATAAAAGAAAGAAGTGCTCTCTTTGTATGTACTCCTAAGGGTTTGGGTATAGCATAAGAAAATTTGTCTGTTTGTGGTATCCATTTTAAGCCAAGGACACTGTGACAAGGTTGATCAGTGCTTCGAAGCATGAGGGGAGTTTCACGATGATCCAGCGGAACATTTTCAAGAAGTTTTTCATTATTAGAAGACCATTTTCGTAGCTGAAATCCTCCTTTGAGTAGTAAATCGATAACATCTTGCTGTAAGTCAAGGGCTTCATTTAAAGTGTCACAACCTAACAAAGCGTCATCAACATAGATTTGATCTTGCAGAGCTTTGGCTGCTAGCGGATGGTTATCACCTTCATCAGCCATTAGCTGTTGGATAACACGATTGGCTAAATATGGACTTGAACTCATGCCGTATGTAACCGTGGTTAACTGATACACTTTGATCGGATGAGAGGGCTCTTCTCTCCAGTAAATCAATTGAAATTTTCTATCATCTTCATGAATTAATATCTGCCTAAACATTTGTTTTATGTCACATGTGAAGACATATTTATGTTGTCGAAAGCGAAAAATTATATCAGTGGGATCGTTATGCAGTTTTGGGCCTTGGTGTTGTAAGCTGTTAAGCGAGATTCCAGTAGAAGTTGGGACCGAACTGTTAAAAACCACTCTTAGCTTGTCTCCTTTAAAAACACCATGATGAGGTAGGAAGAAGTGAGGTTCGTCTGAGGGCGGAATTGATTCACAAATTTCCATATGACCAGAAGTCTCATAATCTTGCATGAATTCAACATATTTCATCTTGAAGTCTGGTTGAGCAGCAAATTTATTTTCAAGTGAGTTAAACATACGTTTAGCTACAGGTGCTGAAAGACCCAATTTCTGAGGGGATTCCTTAAACGGTAAACGACAGATATATCTACCGGTATTG